AAACGTTTACGGTAGGCGTATCCCTCCTCTCTCTCTCTCTCTCTCTCTCTCTCGTGACTGATAAATCGAGAATGAAGCTCGACACACGAACTCGTTTCCCTCCGTAATGATCGCTTTTTCGCGATATTTATTATTCACGGAGTCTCGAGCCCATTAAATTTCCGCGACCAGACGCAAGAATTAGAAAATCGATTCCTCCGATACTCGATTGCTCGATATCCCTCGATATACGATACGACCGTTCGATAAATACACGTAGAAAAATTCTGTAAGAAAAAAAAAAAAAGCACACGATTGCTCGAAGGTACGCGATTCTTCCGTTGGGATTTAAGTTTTTTAACGTACGCAGAACGCGATTTTTTTCGATCGAGAAATCGTTGCGCGTGATTTTGCGCGAAAACGACTGCAACAACGTTGTTACGTAAGTTAAAAGGAGCGGGTCCTCTGTGAAATATATTCTCGCCTGTAATCAAACGATCTTTTGCACGTGCTTCTCGAACGAGATTCCCTCTGAAACGATATTAATTAATATTCAAGAAAGGGAACTACTACAATACTCGGATACTTGAGAACAAAGGCTCTGATTTACGATTTTTAGGATAAGCGATTCTGATTTCATCTAAGGAACGAGCTTTCGATCGAATTTTGCTGTGTGTATTTTTTTTTTTTCACGTTTCTAATTTTAATTCTCGAATTTTACATCAATTCAATGAATATGATATTGGAATTTTGATAATACGATCCTTCTACGAGAATATTTAAAAACTACTCGTCAAGATATCTTAAAGTTCTTCTCTCGTGTTACGCTCGATCCTTGATATCGAATTGATTGAATGAAATTCGCTTAACAACCAAAAATAGGCGTGAAAGTTAAATTTTCGTTGTCCCAAAATCTGAGAAGAAAGTTCATCATCGATATCGTGGCAAATACCTTTACGAAAATATTTCACATTTGTGCAAGCTCGAGGCAAGTTTCGCGAATGGTGTGTCATTAACACGATTCTCGTGACGTGATGAATCGAGGCGTAATTCCAGCTACTTGGACACAGTAATTTATGCGTCCTCATCGGTAAAGTTCCTCGCGTTCCAGTGACGATCCTCCGTGACGAAGGAGGCGGAAGAACAGGGGACGCCAGTACATGCCTCGCATAGATACGACAAAATTGCATCTTCGCGGGCCAGAAGCGTGGAATCCTAAGGACGTGATTCGGGCTGGGTCAAGGATAGGCAGGATGTGACGTCACAGACCGCCAAGAGATCGATATTCCAGCTACCAAGTGGCGTCACCTCTTTCCGCCTCATCTTTGACCACTTTACGCGCATTAATTTCTTTTATTTCGAATAATTCCTGATAAATGTCCCCCTCAATATCCCGCTTCTGGGGATATTGTATCCCTCGCACATCCTTGTTTTAATTCTTCGTTTCTCAGAGAAGTTTTATGGGATACTTGTAAATTTTAACACGAAATAAAAATTGATCGATCGAAGAGTGGAAAGTTTAAATAATACGGAGGTTGTTCGTGAATTTCGATTTCCAGAGAATGTGATTTTTACACTGTGATTGATACCTCTGAACTCCGTTCAGTCGTGTAGAATCGTATCTACGATATTGAAATCGTTTATAACGAAACGACGTGTGAATTTCTTGGAAATATATCGTATGATATTCTCGTTGATGTTCAAGGAGTTAGAAATACAGGAAGTATAAATCTTCTTGTACGAGATTTCCGGTCCCCAGTTTGATATAATAATCCCCGCCAAGGTTATGGAGTGCGGCAAATATACGTGAATTTACCTTTAACCCTCTCTTCAGGCTCTCCTCCTACGCGTTCTTCTCCCTCTATCATCCCTTCGCAAAACTTCCAATTAATGGAACTTCCACTCTTCGTAAATTCCGTTTAAACTTTTCAAATTTTCGTATCTCTTAAAACAAGAAAAATAAGAAACGCTCGGCTACTATTTTCATTTCCTATTCTTCCTTTTTTACTCGTCATTGTTGAAAAAAGTTATCGACGTTTCTTTCAATTTCTTAGTAAATTACTACTAAAAGAAACTCGAGCATCCCTTCAAGACTTCTGTTCCAAACATTTGATTGAAAAGAGTCGAGTCTTTATTAAAAATTTTTCTCATTTCTCAAGCAAATATTAACACCCAACACTTTTTTTGTTTTAAATTAAGTATTTTCTCGAATCTTTGCTCCCGATACAGCATCGAAAACATTGGAGAGATACGTACGTACGCGCAGCTGGCTCGTTCCTTTTGCAAAAATCCCGCAAAGGATCGCCATGGCTTTTATCCTCGCGGGGAAGAACGTTGCACAGAGAACGTTTGTCCCTTGTTGACCCGGCGCGATTGTTCGCCGTTTCACTTGCCAAGGTTGCCTCGAAGGAAACCCTTCACGGACAATGATTTCTTTCAGTTCGCCGAGACACGACACGTATAGCCGATCTATTCTGAGGTCGTCAGCGAGGAATTCTTCTCCTCCTGATACGTGTCCGCCGTCTCCTTTGCATAAGAGCCCCGTCACGAGGCTTGAATAATGCTCAGAGGATGGGCCAAAGCCTTCCACGACGCCTTCCTCTGTTTATTCGATCACAACGGTGCAACAACCTCGTTCGTGTAATACAACGATACTCCTCGATATTTCGTTTCATGTGTCTACGAAAGGGGCCCCATAAACGTGTCCTATAACGCATTTGTAATTATCACGAATGGAACGAGCAGATGTTTGTTCGTTTGGGATGAAATAAATGCAGTTTGGAGGCAGTAGGGTTAATAAGATCTCGATAGAGCGTCCAATAACAGAGGATAATTACACGTTGATGGCATTACATCAGACGGACGAATTATTGGCCACGCTCAATTTGCTATTTGCGGGGCTGTGCAATAATCCGCTCGCAAAGCGTGTACATTGTGTTCGCGGAGGTTTAAGGTAAATGAACCTCTTTGAAGAAAAATTCGTTGACCTATATAATTAACTCGATTCTTTGAGATCGTGGCGTGCGGCCACTCGCTGAAATTAATTTTAACTTTTTAAAAGATTTTCTTCGTCTCTTTCCATTTTTCTGTAGTTTTCTTTTTTCTTTTCTTTTCTCGTACGAGAATTTCCCTCCCCCCCCCTTTCTTCCTCTACTTGTTTAATTTCGTAGTTTCTTATCCTTTATTACTTTGTTGCTCTTTAAACTCTTTTCTTTTTCACTCGGAATTATGAAATTTTTTAATAACACGCTAAGTTATTCTTTTTTCGTTCTAATTTCGTTCTAATTTCCAAAATCTCTGTTTTGTCAAACTCGCTTGTCGCTATTTTAATCTGCATCCAACTTCAATTCTCCACCTCAGCATTCTCCACCAATTTTTCAAAACTACTTCATAAGTACCTCCCCTGGAGTCTGTCGCATCCAGATAACTTAATGGCCATCCTTATCCTCGTTCCAACAGTTCGAAATTTCCTTCAAGATCTCCAGCCTCCTAAAACTCTTACATCGATCGAAAGATTTAGAAACATTAGTAATAATTGCATTTTTAATTCGAACAGATGCTGAAGTCTTGCAGAACCTTGAGCATGACCGTGCGAGGGCCAGCGTTGGATCCACGATGCAGAGGTGGACACCCCGTCTGGTCCTCTTCCGGTCGACAACAGTCCTGCAGCTGGATCGACCGTCAAGGTCGTCCAACCTCGCCACCGCCACTTTATCCACCTCGGGACCCTAGGTACGGACCAAGGACGAGAAAGGTGGAGCTCTGCATCGAGCCTGGCCAGTCTCTCGGCTTGATGATCAGGGGCGGCCTCGAGTACGGCCTTGGGATTTATGTGACCGGGGTCGACAAGGACAGCGTGGCCGATCGAGCCGGACTTTTGGTAAGAGATTTTATTTCCTCCTTCGATAAGCTGTATTTTTATTAGATCTCAGATCAGTGTCAGCCCGTCATTTTCATTCGACGATAAAATTGCAAGTTTTTCCTCGGCTTTTTCGGCCCGATATTGTCGTGCGGTGTGCCCCACGTTCAGGATAAATATCTTGTAGCGAAGGAAATTTACGGTTTGCACTTACTTTTGTAGAGAAATGCAAAGAAATTAATTAGAAATTTTTTTAAATTGGAAATTTCATAGATTGGATAAATGTTTAAGTTGGAATGTCAGAGGATCGTATTTTAAGATGAAGAAGGATGCGTAGAGGTAGTTTCAAAGTTTATCGTAAATTTTATGAAGATCCAATAAAGAAAGTGAAAAACGATAATAATAAATACAGAGTATAGTGCTTCGATATTTTCAAAAATTAATAATTTCCTTGTGACATTAATATTGTATTACAGGAAACACACGGCACAAATAAATCGTGGAAAAGCGATTACAATTACGTATGATAAATATGATAACGGAGGATGTTTACGAAACAAAGCGTAACAAACGGTATTATTAATTAGCTCGTTCTATAATTCAATGTCAGGAAGAATTATAGAAGAATTTTAATTAGTTGGCCATTATTGAAATAGTGGTAAGCAGTCGAGTGACAAAAGTGCTTCATCGAACGAACTGCTAATCACAGAAATTTAAATTTTTATCAAAATTTTGATAAAAACTTTCATATAAAGTTGAGAAAATATTTCACACAGAAAAACAATGGATTTACTCTCTATCGGTATAATTAAATGTAAATGGAAATAAATAGGGAAATGTCAAATTTTCGTATCCAGGTAGGTGATCAGATCATCGAAGTGAATGGGCAGAGTTTCGAGGAGGCGACCCACGACGAGGCAGTGGAAATATTGAAGACGAACAAAAGGATGACACTCCTGATTCGCGATGTGGGAAAAGTGCCACACTCTTGTACCACGAGCCAGCCTATCGTTGTACCGACGACTAGATACCCTGAACACGATCCTCTACTCTTGGAGAGCCCTGGAAATCATCGACCACCGAGTCCTACGTAAGAAACGCCTACTCCGCTCGTACAAAACCCAAAAGTTTCGCCTTATTATAAAACGAGTATTATCACTCCCTTTCAAAAATCAAAACCAGTTGGTATACATTTTAATTTCACATTAATTCTAAATATCTTCGTTTTGTTTTCGTCGGAAATCACTTTCGTGCCTTACTTTAAAAATGAATTCAGATTCGATTAAATATATTTCGAGGTATTTATTTTTCATATTTTCTCTTCAGCATTGCGAGCGATTGGAGGCACAGAAACGTACACATGGTTTCTGCCGCAACTGCCGCGATGGTGGAGGAAAAAGCGAGGGTGGTCCTCGCGAGGAGCGAGAGGGCAGCGCTTTCTCAGCTTCTGGCCGATTACAGGACGCGTCGAATGACAATCGAGGAGCTGGTTGTCAGTTTAGGCGACCTGCTGAACACACACGAGAAATTGACACTGCTTACCGAGCTCAGGGAACTCGTCGACAGCAAAGACAGAGCTGCCTTCGACGATTTGGTTTACAGGCCTCGAGTAGCCAGGGTATGTTATAAGATGTAATATTCTAAAAACTTGAATAACTTGATTTCAAAAAAAAAAAAGAACCATGGATCATTGGTTTAATTTAAAATAAATTTGAACAAAATTATAAATTGTTACAAAATGAACGATACTCTCTATCTCTATTTACTACATATTTATCATGATGAGTAGTGAAAAGGGATTTATTTCATTGAAAATTAATGGATATAGATTAATTTAATTAGAAAAATGCTACAGATTAACGATTAAATTAGCGTTTTTCTTTTTTGCCTGTCCAGAGAAAAGGTGATCGTGCCCATTCGGATTTAATAGTGACTCCATCCCTTCACGATCTTCCGGTAAGTAAGCTGTAAAGATTACGATTTCACCGATATAGTAACACGAATAACGGGTGAACACACGAGAACACAACGACTCACTTGATATCTCACACGATTATTCTCTATCTATTTATCTCTATTTATCTTTTTCTCTATCTCTGTTTTCGGGACATGTATAGAAAACTCTCTGTCTCTATCTTTCTCACTCTCTGTTCTGCGTTGTCCACTATAACTGTTAGATCTATAACTGGTGACTGTTCTCTCCTTTTATCTCTATATATATATTTTTACATATATATTTTTTTTTTTTAACCTGTCGCCGAGTCTCGCAAGCGACCTACTCCTAGGAGAATTCTCCTTTACGAATACCGAACGCGTGTATTCGAAAAAGGATCTCGAGCCGGGTGAAAAAAATATAACGATGTGCGTATGTACATTTTGTTAAATGTATTTAGGCCCTCTGTTCGCTAGATGTCGCAACGATTGAAGTGAAAAAATTAAAAATGGAATAATTGAATAGTGTCGTGGAAGAAGAATGCATAAATCATGCGATGTATAATGAGTAGAAAAAAGAAGGATGAGGTATTATACAATAGAATAATCTTTCTGTAATCACAATGATAAAAAAATGGAATTCGATATTGAAAAGAAAAAACGAGCGAGATATTGTATCGATGCAATTGGCCTTAATGAATTGAACATCGATTTTCGATAAATCGTTTCGATTCGTCATCTAATAATTATTTATTATTATCAGTGTTAAATCAGTTTTCTTTCATTACATTTAACATTTTTCGTGGACAGCGGGCCTTAAACATTTGATCAGAACCACGAAAGATTCCAAAGATTGATCCAAAGAAGAAAACGAACAAAAATACTTAAACGAAAGGAAAAAAAAAAAATGACAAATAACGAGAAGAGGAGGATATATACGGAAGAGGAAAGGTAGGGAAAGCTCGTGGTCGATTGGAGAGGTGCGAGAAGGAAAAAAGTATAAGAAGATGAAAAGGACGAAAGGAGGACAGGAAGTCAAGATTGGAGAACATTCAAGGAAATCACCAAAATCCATCTCTTATCCACTCAAAACGCAGAGATGAAGCTTTTTTTTTTATTTTCCGCTTAATCGCTCTCGGCTACCACGGTGACCGGTGAAGCATGACTCGAGGATCTTCCTGCAACCCCCTTCTCTACTTCCGCTTCTCTTCTTCATCTAAACAAAAACTATACATATATACTTTCGTTTTTCTCTTTCTTCTCTCGCTTCATCCTTCTTCATTCTTCTATCTCTATATATCTCTCTCTCTCTCTCTCGAATATATCACTCTCTGCCTGTCTCTATAACTTCTTTGTCTATCTGTGTTTTGTTTATGATTTCGCTTAGTGTTAGTAGCGCTTCCCTGGGCAGCCAGTGTCGCCTCGTTTCCGCTCTGCGCTCGTCAACGTTCCTCCGCGTCTCTTTGGACTTTGCAGTCGAGATTGTTTGCGTACCGCTTCAGCCGTGCCATTGCGCGAATATTCGAAGCCCGTGGATTGAATGTCGTGCAATTAAGCCTCGCCGGAACGAGTAAACGTTTTCACGACGAGCTTTCTCTCTCTTTCTCTCTTTCTCTTTATATATATATATGTATATATAGAGTTTCAATCCGAGATAAACGAGAGAAAAATTGTCGATGGAAAAGCAGAAAAAGAAAAAAAGGAAAAAAAAAATCGCGACGATCGAAAGAGGAGAGGCTTCGAGTATTCTCGATTTTGTGAAAAGAATCTGCGATGCTATGGGTCTTAGACACGCACGCTTGCAAATTTGGGTATTTGGCCGTGGAATGCCGCTGGTAGATGCGAATGATTTTGCCTGTATCTCTCTCTTCTTTTTTTTTATTCTTTTCACGCTAACCACATCGGGGGTGACAGTACAAAGTGCGATTTTCGAGAACGAGTTCGCCTGAGCTTTGCTGGATTTTTTGTGTTTCGTTATGTCTTGCTTTCGTCGAGTGCGTGATCGGGGAAATTATCGATGATGAGTTTGAAAAGAGTTTGATGATTTTATTTTTTGACGAGTGTTTGAAGTGATTTTGTAAATTATAATTAGTTGGAAAGAAGGATACTATGTGTAATTAGAAGTTATCTTTATAGAATAGGGATTATTAACTTGGTTATTAAAAAATTCAAAACGTTCAATGAAATATAAAATACAGACTAATCCTATTTAATCCTATTACACTGTTCTTATGTTTCAATCTCGTTCTTATTTAATATTCTAAAAGAACTTTAGCATGAAAGTCGAGAAATACGATAATCCTATAGCTTGGTTAAAGGAAGAAGGAAAATTATGAAATTATAAAATATAAGTATATCATTCCAATCATCCAACGAATAAATTTTAAAGAAATCACTTGTTCGAGTAATTTAAAAATTTACATTCTATTTTCTCACTTATTTGCTCTACCAATAAAAAATTACAATCGCTAATGATCTAAAGGAGACGCACTTTTCTTCGATCACGAAGAAATCAATCCCAATTAAAAAAATTTCACTCCAAAGAAAGTTGGAAATATCCTCGGTGAATGGCAACTGATCACGCACTCGATCGCAAGATGTTGAGAGTAGTTTAGAGCTGAGGATCAGTTGGCCTAATCGCATCTCGTGCGTCACGATTCAGGGGCTGGAAAGTTTCCTGAAAGCTTTACTCAGCTCTCGTCGCACGGTGCTTTCTTCATTTTCGTAAACGTTTCTGGACACGAGGTCTCCAAAGAAAAGAAAAGAAAATAAAAGAAAGGAAAGAGAGAAAGAAACTAATCCACAAAGATCCTGCCAGCCTTGTCCAAAGCTCGGGCTAACTCGCTGATGGCCGGTTTCATAGCCAACGAGTTTGTGAACGAGCGACACCGTTAATCTCATTCGTGGAAACGATTTCTATTTCGACGAAGGCCTCCAGTTTTTCGTTTCCAGCTTCGTTCTCTAAATTTCGTGTCCTTAGTCGTTTTTTTTTTTTTTTTTAGCTTTCCACTACTGCCTTCTCCTTTCGTATCGATCTTCTCAACTCTTTGTGTTTCGCTTGTCCTTAGGGGCTTAAGGGGTGGCCAGCTTGTAAGAATTCTTTTCTTTTTTTTTTTTTTTCTAATTTTAATTGTAATTTGTTCGAATCTGCAATCGATGTAAATGGTTGGTGAAATTTAATTCGATGATCGAAAGCTGTTTAATAGACGCTTGCCGGAAGAAGGACTAATTAGAATAATTTTCGTTGAAGGCTCGTTAGACTCGATGCAGACGAGAGACAGGAATTATTGATTTTTCACGTTTTTAGGATGATGAGTCTTAAAACGTTCTCTCAAATTAGAATTTACTCGAATGAATTTATGAAAATATATATAACATTGTAATTATCATTGAATTTCGATGAAAATATTCTTTTGGTGTTAAAAATAATAATTTTTAAAAGTTAAACTTAATAATTAAAGGAAAAAATATATTCTTAAAATTTTAAATTTCAATCTATCTGTATAATATTTATCTGCATCGAGTTCTCAAAAATATTCAAATGAAAATTCTCAAGACAAAACTTAATAGAAATGCAAAAAGTACATTTTGAAATTTTCTGATCGCATTAATCCTTTAAAAAAAAAAAAAAATAATTCGTCAATTGACAATTGACTCGTGGATTGCTCTCATTTGTGGCAAATCGATGACGCTTGATTAATGACAGAACAGTTTCACGGTTCGTGGACCGTGTATTCGCCGGTTCCGTGATCTTTGAACGGAAGAGAACAACCGGAAGTGATCGTAAATCAAGTGTTATCTGTACGCCGACAAATATCACCAGACGGATCGATGATAGATCATCGGTGAATTGTCATATAGCTTTTGTGGCCGATTAATCGATAATTTTGACTGTCTTTCGATGGATTGGCACGAATAGGAACGATCGATCGGCTGACTTACATGGAAAAGGGAATCCATAAACGATTTCCCAATGGGCCAAAGCTATCGCTTTTCTGATATTTTCAGTTCAGCTTCTTCTTGGAAATTTATTTTCTACTCTTTCTCCTCTTCCCTTCTTTTTATTCGTCTATGCTTCATTCGTTACTTTTTTACTTTTTATCAACCTGGAAGGGAAGAAAATCTCAATTTTCTAATTTATTATTCTATCGTAACTTTTAAATGATCGAATAACAAGTGAACGATTTATTAAAAAATTTCGATCGAAAGATTAAAAAAAAAGGAAATGATTAAGAATCAAAGGGGAAAATGGATTGGGTAGTTAAATGAAAAAGGAGGAAATAAATTGCTCGTTGGCCATCGAAACCGGGCTGAAAATGGCGACGAAATGGCGAACAGCATGATGGGATCTGGTGATTTCTCGCAGAGGGGTGTGCCCGGTGGTTGTTGCCGTCCGGGACGACTGGTGGACGTCGAGGGAGATCCTCTAGGAGTGACAGGACCTCTCCTGCCAAGGGATAACCAGGAATATAGATCACCCAGCGAGGACAGCGGTCTCGGGGCCGACATGCCCAGGACCAGGTCGAGAAGGATCTAATAAAACGAGAATCTTTTGCCATTTCTCACTCATACTCTTGAGCCTCTCTTGGTTTTCTTGAAGACAACTCGATACTCTATTTTACCCACTTTTTTCTTTCTTATCTCTTATGTCTGTACAAAAATTGTTGACAACAAATTTTCCATTATTAAGAAAATTGCAATCTCGAAGTTTTGAATCGATAACAAAAGTCCAATTGGATTCGATGGAAAATTTTCGATGCGAGGATAAGAAGAAATTTTTAAATCCTCGATTTTAAGTAAAAGGATTTGGGTTATCGACATAAGAGTTAACGCGGAAAATGTAAAGAAATTTTTTGGAAAATTTCTTTGATCGTTCAGTCAACGAAGATGGAACTTACCGAAAGAAACTCTAATTTGTCGTGCGACCGTGATATTTAATTTGCAACGAGAGTTCAAGAAAATCCAAGTCGAGCGTTCAAGTTTGCCATTCAGAGTAAAGTTTGCAGTTACACTTGAAGCAACTGAGTTACGTCGAGTGGCTTTAAGGACACCACTGTTGCTGATTGGTTCGAGTCGTTTCGTTGCGTGCACGTTGCGGGCCGATTTCTCGAATGTCCCATTATTTCCTTTTCGTGCGGTAATTCCGATCGATTTTTCCAATTGCCCTCAGTTCCAAAATACTATTTATTTTTCGAAAAAAAAGTCACTCCAAAAAGATATCTTATTTTGAACCTGTAAGATCTTCTTGCCTTATTCCTCTTACTTTCTAATAACCCCTGATAAAAAATAAAACTTTGACTCCTATTAACAACTAGCTAATATCCACGATATTTATCAGGGAAAAATTTTACAATCTTCTAATTTCTTACTCTTACTCTAAAAACCTTTCAAATTCTTATTCTTCGTTATTAATTTCCACGTAGTTTCAACAAAATTCCACAAAATTTCACAGATCCTTTTCTAACCACGACAACATCCACGCACAACGTACACGCACTTCCTTAACGGATTAATCCCAATGGTCCCGAGAATCCGGCTCCGGAACGAAGGAGCGAAAATCGAGGAGATAAAGACAAAGAAAGAGAGGGAGGAGAGGGAGAGAGGGAGAGAAGGAAAGAAAAGAAAGAAGGAGAAAAGATTGAGGATTGTAAGTGAGCAGGGATAGCTGTAATGGCGTTTCTATGTCGGATATACGAGGTACATCGATATTTCATTTCCTACCAGCCTCGATCTGGCTTTAGCTTATTCGACCGGCCACCCCCTTCGACCGGCCACCTGGTTGGTAGCAGGTATGTACACGGATAAGCAGACACACGGCGGGGGGTGGCAGGAGGGACGAGGCAAATAGCGGCCGGTACTCGTGTACCCTGTGTACTCGCGTGGGCGGTGGTTGCGGCGTGTAGTAGGGGATGGTGTAGATCGACGATGGTCAACTCGTGTGGATCGAGCGATTGATCCGCATTGGATTTTTACGTACGTGGTTAAGGGAGCACGTCGTAAATCGTCGTAGATCGATGAGGCGGGGATAGATGGTGTTGCTTCTTCTGAGGGGCGAAAAAATAAAAAAAGAGGGAAGAGTTTTATGCTTGGGGAGCGTGAAAGAGGGAGAATTAGTCCGATTTCGAAGGTGGGAATATTTGCCAAAGGGTTTTCCATGGAGTTCTTTTTTTTCTTCTCTTTGAGGATAGATGGATAGATGGATGCTTTTGTGAGAGAAAATTGGGATTTAATGGAACGTGAAAATTTCTGGAAATGGGATATAAATATTAACGAAAGCTCCTTTTTCTATATTGAATCGAAATATTATAGGAGATAATTTTTAGAGAAATATTTGTCGATCGTTGAAACGAGAAATGAACAAATATTCATTTTCTTTTAGTTCTATCTATGCTCCTCTCTTAATTATAATACGATAAAAATATTTTGCAAATCTTTAGAATAACTTTCATTTTCATTACAAGCTATTTTCATTGTGAAACACATTAACAAAGAATTGGATGAAACAATTCCGTTCCATTCGATCTCGTGGAAAATTTCTTTGGTCGAATGCCAATTTCTCGTACGTGTTGGAACGAGTGGTCAGATCGATTAATTCGGCGTACATAGATTCATGGACGAGGGAGTGATGGATAAGCCAGGACATTCCGTGTCTTTCCACGAAATTGGACGTAAGCAAATTCCGTCCAATCGATATCTTTCGCTGGCAGCGGAGAAACGTATACACGTAAAACGTTCGGAACGTGAACGAACGATCGAATCGAAAGCGAAGAAAAATGGGATTTGCATATTTGATCGAGTCTATATCGGGCCTGTTATCCGATTATTTCGCGTGGCATCGTCCGATAAATGTTCTCACCTCGAGGCGAAATGTTTAAACGGGAATTTCAATCTTATTGTTTGCCACTGCTGATCCTTCGTCTTTACAGTTTCTCATTTTCGTTTACGTTTCATTTCGAACGTTTCATTGCATTTGCTTCGATCGAAAATAGGAGGATTTATTTGGATTTCGTTCGATTCGTTCGAATGAATTGGATTTTAAAAGAAATTTTAATTCTACGAAAAACGATGATACTTGCTAACTCGATCGAACTCTTGCCCCTGGAGATTTGATTACACGAAATAAAAATTCTTTTTTTCAATACGTACGTATTTGACCCTTTCCACCTTCGAGGCATCGAATAAAATTAAATCTCCATTATCTTCGTGAACTTCAATCGAGCTGGACTGGATACGAAACCGCGAGGAAAACGACGAGAAACAGATATAACGGCATAAATATCACGATACACGTCGTTAAAGCGATTCTGAAAATCCGTTTACCGCATAACGGTTCTTCTATGCGGCAATAGCGTACACACAGGTACACGAATGGCCCTTGAAAATTTCGTTCTACGGTCGGGCAAAGTTCTAACGCTAGGTCGTATCCCGGGTAACAGAATGAAACAAATGAGCTTGGAGAGAGTTAGCAGTACCGTAATAGCTACGCGGACGAAACGTTGGTTGGAAAAAAGTGTCGGTGCTCGCGTCACAGCCAGATTTTCATCCTCCTCGCTCGACTTCGTTCGAGGCGAACCGATGGATAGGAAGATATAAGAAGGTCTGTGTCGCGAATTTTCCATCGTCGAATCAAGCTTCGATTGTACAGTTTTTCTGAGTGATATGCACGTAACGCGCATTCCCGTCTGATAAAAGGGTAAGATAGCTTCTTGGAAATATCGTAATTAATCATTTCTCGTCGATCGGTTAACTCTCATTACACTTTTAATTTTTGGATCTGAAGAATTTGAGGAATCGTCGTGTGCAGTTCGATGAGATTTCTTCGTCTTTTTTTCCCTTTTAAGAAAAGATAGTTTCTTGGAAATACATTTAATATGATATCATGTGCAACTTCATACGATTTCCTTTGTTCCCTCCAAATAATTTTCCATAACAATAGTACACATAGATAATTCAAATTTTCCTTAATAAAATATCCGTAATTTGCAGCAAATTTCTCGTTTCACAATGAAATACTTGGTCGTACACCGACCTGATAAATCTCGCTACGGAAAATGTGCACGAATTTAGTGACACGAACGTGCCAACTAATTTATCGAGGAATGCAATGCTCGTTGAAAATCATAACTCGTCGATTAGACGAGTTGCTCGACGCCATCCTGGCTGGTTAGCATCGATCGATCGATGGCACCTGCGGCTGTTGAAACTTGGAACGACGAAGGACGAGCCGGGGAACGGAAATAGATTTGGCATGCGATAACCACGGGGGTGTACTACCCCCGTTCGACTTTGCGCTCATTAAATAATCGATGCGAATAACATATAAATAACCGCATTGCTGTCGCCGATCGTCCCTCACATATGTACACTCACGTGTTTCCATTCTTCTGTCCAACTTCGAACCGCCGGGTGAGAGAATAGAAAGTTCTATTTTAACCATCGATCGAAACCACCGTTCTCGTGCTTTCCACACACGATATCCACAAGTTTCGAGCCCTCCTGCGCGATTCCCGTCTCGAATCCATTTTCCAGCAAATATAAAATCGCGAACCGGTATATATTCGTAGCCATGGACAGTCCCCACGTTCGAGAAATCGGTCTATCTTTTGAAACGTTCAATCAACCCGACCAACTACGACCAAAAAAGAAAAAAGAAATATCGAGCAAACCAATCCAACACTATCCAATCGTAGATCTAGACGATATAAAAAAAGAAAAGAAAAGAAAAAAAAAATAATAGGAGAATCGGGTGAGAGACGCGGAGAGTCTCGGCAGGGTGGGTCGTCTCAAATCGCAATTTTGGCCGTTCCAGAGCTGGGTGCAGGAGGACGCCGCAGCACCAAGTGACCACCTCCGATCTCGCCCTCTCCAACGACGACGAGTGCGACAACCAGGTACAGAAAATTGTTCGAGAAAGGCAGAGACGCACGACCTTGAGAAGTTGTCACCCGTTCAACGTGTGAACGTTCCCTCCCCTCACGGTGTTGGTGAACGCGATAAAAGGGTTGTTCGTCGATTTCTTTTGCAGGACTACGAGGACGAGTTGGAGAACGGGCGTGGACGTAGGCACAGCTCGCCAGGTGGCTCGAGGGGGAACCCGAGGGATTACGGCCATCATCATCTCCATCCGGACAATTTGGTGAGTGGTTAGTTTACCTTTTTCACGTCTCTACATTTAACGGATATAACTTCTTTCTTCCTTCCGCGAATTCTCCCGTTTGCACTGACTAGGTCGGATTTGACACTGGAACTATTGATTCGCGGCTAGTACGTGTGTAAAAAGTGAACAGCGAAATGAGAAGTTAGAAGGAGAGTTCGGAAGTTGAAGAATTCTCTGAAAATAATTTAAGAATCTTTTTATCGTTTCGATATTTCAAATTGTCAAATCGATAAAGTCTTTGGTGAAATTGAAATTTCGATTGATTTGTCGATCGAATGTTTAAACGATAAAGAGAACTTACGTAAGTCAGTTTTCAGGGAATGCCACTTTTGAATCTTCCACGTATAAAATTATGTTTTCATCTGAAAGTAAAATTCAATATTAATTTTGCCAAAAGTATAAATTTCGTGTTAATAAAATTGAAACTATGCGACTTGTTTAGTTAGTTCTAGGATTAATTTTAAAGTTAAAGTGTTTCTCGCGAATAAAGTAAAGTTACTCGGAACAGGGTGTGGAATGGATAATGGAGGAAATTTCTACATGTGTATTGGGACGAGTCGAGTGGGATTAGGGGATGTAACGACGTTTCCTGTAGTAAATATTGAATGTCCGTTTATAAAATTACGAAGGATACGAAGCGCGCGCGATTCATAAAAAATTCATCTAGGATGAATTGTATAACTTGGATCGAAGACGATAGCTGATTCTAATGATACGAAAGAGCGATAAATTTTATATAAATCGTCCATGGTTTAAAAATTATAGAAAAACTTTCAAATACAAAAAGAATTCTAAAAAGAAATATTTATATCTATTCTAATATTTTAAATAATTTAAATATAATTTTGTTTATGTAATTATGTATATAACAAGTCGAAAGAAAACTATACAAAGTTTAGAAAATTAATTTTTAAATTTTTCTTTGGTAAAGAAATGGCAAACAAAATAATTCTTTCAAGTTTTAAAATATCCTTGGATACGTACATAACATATGAATATATATGTATATATATATCACGAATCCTGGGCAAGTACAAACGAGATTTCAACGTGTTCGTTCCGATCTTTTGTTCTCCAAGGCACGAAGCGTTTTGCACAAAATTAATATCATCCTACCTAGTATTTCCTTGGCAGAGTACGTGTATATCAGACGTATTAACAATTTCGTTGCACCCTATAACAACTGTATAGAATTCGTTCAACTACGAGGAGTAGAATTGCCAGATTATGAACCGCCTGTGGTATTACGGCGCAATTGTCTCGCGTTAATGGCTGCCAGTATTTTGCGTGTGATAATGTCAAGAAAAGGAGGGTACAGGATGCACACGCGATGCGCACGAGAGCAGAACAAATGGATAATTGAGACAACGGTGAAATTTCTCCTCGAGAATAATAATTCAAACCTAACGATCGGTTGGTTACTTTGGTTGAAAAACAATAGTGAAATTTGAAATAATAGGGAATCGATGATGCATCTCGTCCTATCTTAGAGCAATTCTGTTCCTGATTAAATTTATATATATATATATATATATTAAGAATCAAGATACAAGATGATTTATTCGTTGGTCACTCTTTAAATGAAATTATTGTATTTATCTTCAAATTTCTATACTTTACATTATTTTATTTACATGATAACTTTTAATCTTTCTTTGCTGTCCCATATTTTTTCTCGTCCCGCTAAATTTGATTTCCGATCAGGACGGCCACGATTGGCAAGAGTCAATGAACCGCGGCATTTAAATGAACGAGAAACCGTTAACTCGATTGTCGTCCCGCAAGAATCGACCAATTAAGGAACTGCTTCGAGTAACGAGCCACCCTAATTAGTCACCAGGTCGCGACTGCTTCGGGACAAACCGCGCACTTCGATTAGAAGCGTTTAGCTCTCGTCCCGTGCTATCTTTTCCTCGCATCCTCCGGCACGACTCCACGACAAAGAGAAATTTTCTTTCGAGCGTAAACATTATTCCAACGATTTTATCCGTCGTAAAATCTCGCATCGCGTTTACGATTCATTTCCTCCGCTAACCAACCTACCCGCTACTTTACCCCTATAATCGTTAATCTCTTCGAAAAAAAAAGAAAAAGATTGAACTATAATCCTCTCAAACCTCCTGTTGTATCAACTTTACATTATTTCCCATTCTTCTCTAATATAACCATTCCGCGATATATTTTTCATTCCGTAATAAATCCTCTCGATTGCTCGTTATTTTTATCCTTATAACAATCTCTCTCCACGATTATCCATTTGATTATCACCGAGAAACCGCATCAAACAAAATCCATTAAAACCCATTAACATTAGTCTCAGCTTGTCTCGTTCCTTTTTTTTTTTCTCTTTCTCGCGATCGAAATCGATCCAGAAAGGGGAGATCCAGAGAGGCTTGACTGCCATGCCAATGATACCAATGATCCATCGCGATATCTTCTCTCACGGGTCCATCTGGAAACGAGCTCGATTTATGGACGTTGATCACGCCAGGTCGATCGACGTTCCAAACTCCGAGATCCTGAGGCCTCCAGAAGGAGGTGGTTCCAGGCCTGAATTAATTATCCAGCCCCGATCGATCATGCCTTGTACAGATACCAGACTCGCGAAATGTCTCTATTTCGTGGCGGTTGATGGACTTTTGCCGGCCTTGAAACGGCAAGATCGTCGACCGGGCGGTTATAGACGGTTCTTGATATCCTTGAAGAGGAGACCGAGGAGAGAACTTCTTTTTCCTTCGCGTGTGTCCCGAGAAAGTCGTAAAAGTCGATCCTTCTTTGAATATTTTATAATTGGCGTGCTTGTTTGTTCCGAACAGTTTGTATCTGATTGTTGTTGTTTAAAATTGCCGGTTTGGAGAGGAATGGAAGGAATTGATGATTTAATAATTGATGAATTTTCTTTACGGTTCTTAGTGACGGTTGTTTTTTTTTTTTTAATCTGTCAGTCTCCGTTCGAATGAAATGAACGCCGTGTGCATAAATTACAAAAGAGAATTGAGAAAGCATGTTCTTACGATATGGAAATTATGACGCAAAGCGGGTATCTCGACGAATCGATGTCTCGCCGAATATGGGATTACAAAAGACGAATATAATTCCTAATACTGACTCATGTACATATGCATACGTATTTCAATATCTAATATTTTGCGCGTGATAGAACGCTGAATGTTTCGAATTTCATTCTCTTCTTTGGACTGTAAAAAGTGGATACAAAAAGAAACAGAATTATCGCAAGAAAATATTACAAAGAATATTAAAATATATATATTTTTCATACTCTCGCATCATTGTTTATAAAGTTGAGAAATATTATTAATTACCAAACGAAATTGTTACACCTATACTCTCTTCCACAACATAGTCTTCGATCATGGAGATCAGAGACACGTTCATAGCGAGTACATCTAGAAAATTTATTCATCCAAAAATTCGAATAAGCAACGTTCACCAACACATTCATCCATCATCCACCCATCCCGATTCCGTCCCCGTGTACGCGACTTCTTCCCTCGAGCCACAGTTCATCATCGTCACTCGACAAAATCCGGAACTACGCGTCCGGAGAGTTACGCGTATATCCTCGAGCTCTATTGTCCTTTTTTTTTTTTTTTTTTTTTTTTTTAGTAAAAGAAGCCGCCTCCAGCTTCGCCGAGAACCAGAAGCCGGAAACTTGTCACGGAATAACACGAATATAAACGATTCGTTGTGAAAGGCGACAGAGAGAGAGAGAGAGGGGGGGGGGGTATTGTACACTCGAGGCGCGCGTGAAATCCTTGAACGACGATCCTCGAACACGGGTTTGTTTGCTCGATCAATTTACGGTGGCCCCCAATCGATGATCAGCCAGTCAGAGCTTGTCCTGGAGCGCTTGTCGTAGCTCCTCGGTGGCCTTCGCCACGTCCTGGGTCTGCCGCGAAAGCACTTCCGCCCGCACGTGTTGCACCGTCGAATTGGACCGCCTCACCGAGTTCCCGCTGCCGAATTTCGGCCGTGGAATTCTCACGCGTTGCACGTCGCTCAGCCAGGATTCCATGATTCCTTCCTTTTTTCTTCTTCTAATTCCGTTTCTTCTCCTCCTCCTCCTTTAACAAAAATGCCGATATTCGTTATTATAACAATTGTTTTTTCTGTGAAAGAAGAAATATTGATCGATATATTGAATTGTTTCACGATGTGTGTTAAATGTTATTCATTCGTACTCGAATGAAAGAATCGGAGGAGGTTGATTAATATTTCTTCTTTTCTCTTATCACACTGCATATATATATATATAGTTCTCTAGTTATAACACGATTCTCCTTTATTTGATTACGGTTTTTCTTCGAACGTGGGTATTATTTAGAGAAATCGGTAAATAGCGTCTAATTTCGATGATTAGTTTCAGCTTAAGAGAAAGTCTTGGAACGTTTAACAACTGTGTCGCGCGATCTTTATCGCTTAATACGCACGCCCGCCCGCGCGTATCAACACCGTGCTCCAGAAAGTGGCATAATACGACTGCACAATTTCTTCGGTGAAAGTGCCGCCATTATACCATCGATATTTCCACTATCAACCTCTGTGTTTGCCTCCGTTATCATTCCGCGTTCCCGTTCAATATTTGCCCGTTCTTATCTTCTTCGAATTTCCGAAGAAGAGGAATGGATTCGACGCGTTTTCTAAATAATTCGATCGGTTTCGAATCATCACGACGATTCTCTCGGATCTTGCGTGAAAATCGCTCCTGGCGATTTGTGACGCAGTGTGCTTTAACACCGATGGAGATGTGGTAAAAAGCAAACGGGAACGCCGTGGTCATTGCCAGTCGAGGGCAATGGGTCATTCGAGCTACGTGACAAAGAGGAGAAGAATGTCACTGGGCCACGCCGGCTGGACATTCTAGCAGCATGATCTGAATCGTAATCAGACACAGAAAATCAAGCGCCTTATGCTCCGCCGTTAGTTAACTTTGTCAATTTTTCCCTTCCCCTTCTCTC